GGTGCCTTGTTCTTTGCCAATTCTATCAATGCACTTTGGACTATGATGATACAAATGGAGTAAAGTTTTCAAGACCTTCATTTGCTGATGGAGCACAACTCAAAATGAAGAGAAACAGCTGTAAACATCCATTAATCATCAGAACATGGAATGTATGAAGTATAAATCTAGGACAATTGGAAATTGTCGCAAATGAAATGGAACGCATAAGCATCGACATCCTAAACTGAAATTAGTGAGCTGAAATGGACTGGTATTGGCCATTTTTAATCTAACAATCACATGGTTTACTATGCCAGGAATGACAAATCGAAGAGGAATGTTGTCATATTCATCATTAAAAAGAACATATCAAGATCACTTAAGAATAGCAATGCTGTCTGTGATAGGATAATATCCATATGCCTACAAGGAAGACAAATTAATACCACTATAATCCAAATTTACACACCAACCACTAAAGCCAGTGATGATGAGACTGAAGAATTTGGAGAATTCTACCAACTTCTTCAGTCTAAATTGATTAAACATACAATCATTGATAATTCCCTGTAAACTTTCACTCAATTCACAATGAAAACTTAAAAAAATGCAGATGTATTGATAATTTCTGGTGACTGGAATACAAAGGTTAGAAACAAAGAGGAAGGATCAATGGTTGGGGAATATGGCCTTGGTGATAGAAACAATGATTGCGTGGTAGAATTTTGCAAGAACAATGAATGGGTTGTTCATTGTAAATACCTTTTTTGAAAAACATAAAAGATGACTATACACATGGACCTCACCAGATGGAAAACACAGAAGTCAAATTGGCTAGATCTGTGGAAAGAGATGGTGGGAAAGCTCCATATCATCAGACAAAACAAGACCAGGGACAGACCTTGGAATAGACCATCAATTGGTCATATGTAAATTCAGGCTGAAGCTGAAGAAAATGAAAACAAGTCTATGAGAGCCAAAATAAGACCTTGAATATATTCCACCTGAATTTAGAGATGATCTCAAGAACAGATTTGATGCATTAGACACTGAAGACTGAAGACCAGAAGAGTTGTGGGATGACATCAAGAATATCATATAGGAAGAAAGCAAAAGTCATTAAAGACAAGAAAGAGGGAAAAGATAAAAATATACATCAGAAGAGAGTCTGAAATTTTCTCTCCAGTATAGAGATGCTAAAGCAAATAGTAGAAGTGGGGAGGTACAAGAACTGAACATAAGATTTCCAAGGCCAGCTTGAGAAGACAAAGTCAAATATAACAAAATGTGCAAAAAGCTGGAGTTAGAAAACCAAAAGGGAAGAACACACTCAGCATTTCTCAAGCTGAGGAAACCCAAACAAAAATGGCTGCAAACATATATTGACAGAGAACTTCCAGAGGCTCAAGCTGGTTTCAGAAGAGGACGTGAATGAGGGATATCATTGCTGATGTCAGATGGATCTTGACTGAAAGCAGAGAATACCAGAAAGATGTTTACCTGTATTTTATTGACTACGCAAAGGCTTTTGATTGTATGAATCATGACAAGCTATGGACAACATTGCAAAGTATGAGTATTCTGGAACACTTAGTTGTCCTCATGAGGAACCTGTACATAGACCACGAGGCAGTTGTTCAAACAGAACAGGGAACACTGAATGGTTTGAATTTAGGAAAGGTGTGTGCTAGGGTTGTATTCTTTCACCAAATTTATTCAATCTGTATGCTGAACAAATAATCTGAAAAGCTGGATTATATGAAGAAAATCGTGGCTTCAGGATTGGAGGAAGACTCATTAGCAACCTGTGATACGGAGATGATACAACCTTGCTTGCTGAAAGTGAAGAGGACTTAAAATACTGATGAAGATCAAAGACCACAGCCTTTGTATGGGTTGCATCTCAATGTAAAGAAAACAAATAGCCTCACCACTGGACCAATAAACAACATCCATTTAAGTGGAGAAAAGATTGACGTTGTCAAAGACTTCATTTTGCTCAGATCAATCATCAACACTCATGGAAGCAGCAATCAAGAAATCAAATGACATAGTGCATTAGGCAAATCTGCCACACAAGACCTTTTTAAAGTGTTGAAGAGCAAAGATGTCAGTTTGAGGACTAAGGTGCGCCTGACCTGAGTCATGGTATTTTCAATAACCTCATATCATATGCATGTGAAAGTTGGACAGTGAATAAGGAAAACCATAGAATTGATGCATTTAAGTTATGGTGTTGGAAAATATTCAAAGTACCATGGGCTGCCAAAAGAACAAACCAGTTTGTGTTGGAAGAAGTGTAGCCAGAGTGCTCCTTGGAGGCCAGGATGACCAAACTTCATCTCTCATACTTTAGACATATTGTCAGGAGGGACCAGTCACTGGAGAAGGATATCATGTTTGGTAAAGTTGAGGGTCAGAGAAAAGGGAAGACCCCCAATGAGATGGATTGGCACAGTGACAGAAGCAATGGGCTCAACCATTGTGGGGTTGGCCCAGGACCGGGCAGTGTTTTGTTCTGTTGTGCATAGGGTCCCTATGAGTCGGTACTGACTTGTGTCTAACAACTGTGTAGATACCTTCTAAGCCAGTGACTTTAAACTTGAGCAAGTAACAGAACTACCTGAAGAGCTTGTGGTAACAGATGGGCTGATAATTTGCATTTCGAACAAGTTCCTAGCTGATACCCTAGTAACTGGAAGCACCACACCTTTGTGTAACCAAAGCAACAGCAAGGACATCACCTGGCAACTGATTAGAGCTAGACTCTCAGGCCCTGCCCCAGCCCTCTTGGTTCCAACTCATCGAATCCCTGGTGTGGTATTGTGAATTAATGTGGGCTAACTGCTCAGTTGGTTTGAATGGGAAGCTAAGTGGTTCAAGCTCATTAATTCACTTCTCAGAAACCCTACACAGGGTCACTATGAGTAAGAACCTATGTCAGGGCACTTAACAACACAGGGTTTCTAGCTTGTATGTTTGAATTGCCAACTTTGCTTATCCTGCAGCCTCACATCAGGACCCCACCCTAGGGAATCCAAATTTTTAACAAGGAGCACAATTTCAGAGAGGAGTAAACTGAGCCGACGCCTGTTTCAATCCCAGATCTGACAACTCTTAATTTTCTTCACATGTGAGATTGTCTGGTGTGGGCGTAGGGGTGTCAGGGCATAGGAGGGCCTGGGCTAGCAGTAAGAGGAAGGGATGGTTGGGAACCTTTCTGACAGTGTTAATGCCGTCTCCTTCCTCTTGGCCTTCACAACCAGCTGCTGGCGGAGCTGACCAGGTTGTCTAGGAGCGTTACCTGGGTGCCATGCTTGTCCACCTTGGAGATCTTCCTCTGCAACCTGGGCCAGGCCCATTACCTCAGCCTTTCTTCTTACTGCCTGCCCCTGTGGGACCCAGCTGGGCAGCACTGGTGTTTCCTCCCGGAGGCCCCAGTGTGTAGAGGGCAAAGATTCAGGAAAGTGGCTTGTGGTTGGGAGCCTGGGCCAATGGGTGCAGCCAGCAGCTGTTGGATCTGCTGGCTGTGATGGAGGAGGTGAATGTGTCCCTTTGCAACGTGAAGCAGTTCACGGGAACCTGGGACCAGCAGTGATTTGAACCTTCTGAGAGGGAAGGGGCTTTTTCTCCTTGTGTACCCCGTTTCTGGGCCTGTTGTAGTGTCCTGAGCCTTCTCACCTTTTCTAGGGCCAGAAACACTTTCTAGTGTAGAAAGTGGGTGGCTGGTCACCCATCACTCCAATCCACCTGTGCACACACCCCTTTCTATAGCTACAATCTACAGCAGCACACCAGGACCTCATGGACATTCCCGGCACATATCACAACACTACAGAAACAGCTGTGATTGTGATTTTACAAATGAGAAAACAGAAGCAGTGTTGTAAAATAAGGTCTTTAGGGAACAAACCCCAGCCACCCCACTGTTGGGCCCTACAGCTCAGCTTCTGCTTCTCTCTGGGTAGAGGTAAGAGCCCAGATAGATCCTAGGCTAGCCCTCCTTGGTCATGGTCCCACCTCCAACCCTAGAATAACTGTAACTGTCATGTGGCAACTTGCAAAAGAAAACAAAAACAAAACAAAAAATGCAAATCCAAACTGTATTTATTTAATATATTCATCATCGGGGCTCAAAAGGAGAGTTAATTTAAAAACAAACAAAAGTGACAGCACAGTTTAAGATAAGAATCCTGTACAGAAATCAAGGAATGGACGGACAGACAATCTAAGGAAAAAATAGACAGTACAGGGAGGGTCTGGACAGATGGGGTTAGGGCTCTTGGCTGGAGACTTGCTTTGAGTAGGTTTCCTGCAGGTATTTCTTAAAGGCTGGAAGAGAATGGGCAGGATTTGTTAAGTGATGGGGACTGAAGGAGAGCAGGAAAGGTTCAGGAGATTAGGGAGTGGCTGCTACACACCCGACCCACCCCATGGCCTTTGCCTCCAGTAAGATCGGGGAGGGCAGTCATTTGCCTTCTATTAAAAAGTTCTGCAACCTATACCACTGTGGATGTGGTACAAAAAAAAAAATGCCAAACCAAACCCATTGCTTTTGGAGTCAATACTGACTCACAGTAATCCAACAGGGCAGCGAACTGTCCAATAGTTTTCAAAAGGCGGGAATCTTTATGGAAAGGAACCTTGGTGGCACTGCAGGATAAGTACCGAACTGCTAACTGCAAAATCAGCAGTTCAAATCCCTGAGTGTCTCCTTGAGAGAAAGATGAGACTGTCTGCTCCCATAAAGATTTAGTCTTGGAAATTCTATTTAGGGTCATTATGAGTTGGAGTTGAACTCAATGGCAGTTACTGTGTTTGGTTTGAGTCATCTTTATTGACTGTTCTCAGGACACTGTCCAAAGTCACTGGGATCCTTGTTTGAGGATGAAGGACCTACCTGTGGGGTTTTTCCAGAGTTCGGCAGCATGTGTGTTCAAAGGGCTATCAATATTGGGTTCTGTGAGGAAAAAACAAAAAACAGTCAAGTGGGTAGAGAAGGCCAACCCAAGGGAATCCCAGATAGGCCCTAGTGTGCAGGGGAGGGATTGGTCTCTGATGTTACCTCCTAGCAGGCTCTGGATTGAGAGGAGGATGGTCCTGACATCATAGAGGGCAGACCACTTGTCCTTCAGGATGTCTAGACAGATGTTACCCTGAGTGTCCACGTTGGGGTGGTAGCAGGGCGTGAGGAACTTCACTGTGGGCGCGTTGTAAGGGTAGCCACTGGGGAACTCGAGGGAGAGCTTGTACCTCAGGTCTTCATATACCTGGCATTTCGAGAAACAGGTAGGAGTGATAGGAGGTCATTTCCCAACCCTAACATCACAGCTGAGAGCGCGAGAGGATGTTGGGAGTTTGGTTCTGGTGCTTTCTCTCCAGTTTAGTGGAGATGGTTAAAACTGTGAGATGCTCTGCAGGTGAGGGGCCCACCTCCATGGTGGAAACATAAGTGATACTTTGGTCTGGGGTTGTAAACTCACAACCTGAGACAGCTTTGGTGCAACTAGAATTTAGTTGTGAACGAGTAAAAATTAGTTTTTGGACACACACCTGAGTTTCAATCTACCTCAAATCAGCTCTGCAGCCGTGGGAAGCTGCCCCTTTGTTTGGATAGAGTGCTCCCTTGCTCCTCTACCCATAACCTTGCTGTCTTGCCCCTTACAGGCATATAATGGAAAGCTTGCTTTAAATCCACCCTCTTATTTAGACACCCCCCACCAACTCTTTACTTACTGTGCCAGCTGCTCCATGGATGGTCCCCACCCACTTGAAAAGGTTGTCTGATTCAGGGAAGGCAGAAATGCCTTTGTCACCAGACATCTGGGGAGGAAACAAAACAACACTTGCTGGACTTGAGTACACATTTTGGACATAGTAATGGAGATCTGTGGATAGGCCCCTTCTCAGTCTGATCACATGTTAATCCAAAATAAAGCAATGAGACCAAGTTGAGAAGGTTTTTCTAGGGGTGTGTAGGTATGTGCATGATTAGATTCTTAGGGCAGCACAAATCCCTTTGGGGGTGGGGTACTATTGGGATTATAAAGGAGGATCAATCATCACTAGGCCAAGGATGGAGGGAGGGGTTATGCAGGGAGGCAGGAGGCAATTCTCTACCCACAATCCTGTTGGTTGCTTGGGTATTCATTCAACCAGCTATCAGTGCTTGTTCAAAGCTCAGGACTGCTTACAAGAAAGGCTTCACAGGGAGGATGTGAAAATGACACCCAGGAAGAAAGCACTCCATGGTGTGACTGGGATAGTGGGGAGTAGGGGTGAAGCTATGACGCTTGGGGCAGAGGAGTCAGGTCAGCTGGACAGTGATGAAGAAAAGGTGTCAATGGGGCCTGCGAACTTCTTCCCGTACTCATCTACTTTAAGGTCCACATCCAGCAAAAGGCCTGATGTAGGAGGGAGGCGGACTACCTCGTTGGGGATCTGGGAGGCTCAGCCACTCACCATGAGGGTCATCAGCTCCTGCTGTAACCTGCAAAGAGAGCATCATCCGGGGTTACGTAGGGTCTGGAAGAACAGCCAAGGAGGCTTCTCCCACGCCCCCATATCCACAGTAGGGTCCTAGTGAGTTCAAGCCCTCTCTAATTCCAGGCTCCCGCATAAAGTTTCTAGCATGTTCTCATCTCCACTGCTTTCCGCGTTCTCAATCTCAACCGCCCCCCAACCCCGCCAAGCCACGCAACTTCCCCGCAGCAGGATACCGACAGCGTCGCTACCCTCCCGACCCACTTCCGAAGGGTCTCAAAGAGTCCCCACCACCCTCCGAAGACCTCCCCCGCCCCAGGAGGAGGAAAAAGTCCCGGAAGCCCAGCTCTTGGCCTCCACGCCTTGGATGCCCGGCTTCGGAGGATGTCTACCTCCGTCTCGCTCACCTCTTGCCCACGGAGCCCCGGGCAGCGCCCCCGCTGGGCTCAGCCCCTTTCCGGGCGGCGACGACGCTGGCTGCGGCTGGGTCGCGGTTCTGGGAGGCCATTCGGTCGGCGATATTAGAGAACCAGGAACTAGAAAGACACGACTGCAACTGCAGGCCAGTGGGCCCGCCCGCCCGCGTTTGAATTGTAACTCTCTGGCAGCGCCGGCCAATCAGCGGCTCGCGTGGGTTTGATCCAGCCAATGAAGCGCACCGGAGAGCTCCGTCACCACGCACTCGCTAGACCCACCCACCAACGCGCCATATTGAGCGGTGGCGTCTTGCTTCTGAAAGACGATTGGCAGGAACGGTTGCCCTTAACTAGTACATCTGTGGTGGATTGGTAGCCTTTGGAAAAAGCCTACCATTAAAGGGCAAGAAAAAATGCATGTGGGCTTAACCCTCAAAGACAAACACCTAGCTATTCTGGGATCTACCGGTATGCCAAGCCGTGATCCCTGCATTCTGGGTAAGGGAGTGTCTCCAGTATGGGAGAACCTGTACCTTAGTGGATGGATTGGAGCTCCGGGTGTTTGAAAATCCTAGTGAGTCAGAGAAACTAGAGGCCGATGGCCAAAGTGGTAAGACTCCTTATCAGCAACACGGGGTCAAACCCTGCTTCTCCAGCCACTTTACTGTGGGATCCTGGGCCCATCAGTTAGTGCCTAGGCTGTAAAATGGGGGAGAGCCTGCCACTACTGCTCATTGTTTATATGGTCCCTCATCCATCCCCATGGGGCCAGCCATCAGACACCGCCACATCTACCCTAGGTGACTTTTAGCAGCAAGAAACAGAAAGTTGGCTTCATAAAGCAGAAATGCATAGACAATGAGACTTTCCCAGTTCTAACATGGGAAGGGAGAGAGAAGGGTAGCTGGTCCTTCTTGCCGTCTTCTAGAGCCCTTGATGTTTCTCAGTCCCCACAGGGCGGACTACACAGCAGGCTCACCATCTGTGTTTATTACAAACTATTTAACTGCTTTTTATTCCAATAACTTTACAAACACAGAACCACATGCCAGTCTGGGGGTGCACTGCAGTGACTCATTCACTACTAAGTAGCCCAGGCACAGCAGAATGTCACCATGATCCCCCTGGGAGTAGACCCAGCAGCAGCCTCGGTCATGGGAGAGAGGGCTTTGGGAGGGCATCCAAGTGTAGCCAGGGCCATGGGCTCAGGTCTGTGGAGGGGCTTCAGCACGATGCTCATTCTCTGTGCGCAGTGTCTCCATGTACTTTCGCATCTTCTCAACCATCCAGGAGGGTAGGACAAAGGATTTCAGCTCCTCTAACTTCAGGTCTAGGCAGCCCCTGGAAGAGACAGTAGGGAGGGAAGTTGGAGTAAAGAACAATGTGGGCTCAGACTATCCTCATGGCTACCCTGAGTAAGCGGGCAGGGTACGGGGCAGAAGATTTACCTGTAGTCATCACTGGCAGCAAGGTCCCGGATGTCCTCCTCAATGAGGAGGTAGGCCTGGGGTGGGCGGCAAAGGAGAGCAGTCAATGCCTGATTCACTCCAACGCAACACAATTTCATTAAACATCTGCCTAACAGACTTGAAAGGGGGAGAACAGTAAAGAGATGTCTGAGGAGTGGTTCTGAGATAGTGTTTTCCTCAGAGACTTCATGGCTGGAGGAATGGAAACCGGTTAATAATTATCCATGTATAGTCTCCCCATCTTTTAAAAAAGGATCCAAAGTGGCTTACAAGAAAATGTCAAAAGAATTAACAAAAGATGCATGGTAACAGGAAGCCGGGTGGAGGAAGCTATATGCCAACTCTAGGGACGAAGACAATTTGGTTTTGAGCTTCACGACAACAATGAAACCATGAAATACTGCCCTGCTGTCCAGCCCTGGGCTGTACCGGCCTGGTGGAGAGCTGTGTAAGACCAAGGCTAGCTCTGGGAGGAGTCCCCTTGGGAGTCTCTCACATAAGGATGGTGTTCATCACATTCCAGTCTTCTGTGGGAGACATTTCTTTCTAGCCTTAGGATCAAGAGTTAAGTGTGGGTCCCTTGAGTATTTTGATTGCTTTTATCGTATGTTGTTGTTAAGTGCCATCAGTCGATTCCAACCCATAGCAACCCGGTACAGGGTTTCCAAGGAGCAGCTGGTGAGCTTCTTGAACCACGGACCTTACAGTTCAAGTGACTTTGCCGTCTGACGCATTAGGCCACAGTGCCACCCCAGGACTTATAAGCCCTGTGAAATGGGTCTCTGTTGATCAGGTATCCTTGAGAGGGGTCTAAGCTGAATTAATGATCACCTATATAAGTACACAAGTCTCCAACGGCAACAATTTAAAAAAAAAAAAAAAAAATATATATATTGTTGTTGTTGTTAAATGCCGTTGAGTCGGTTCTGACCCATAGCGACCCTGTACAGGGTTTCTGAGGGCGTAAATCCTTACGGGAGTAAGAAAATAAAGTGTGGGCATAATAAATAAAGTAGTAAAATAAAGAGAGCTTTCATCTGTTTCTCGATTTGAATCAGAAAGGCCTAAGCTGTACGTACGCATCTACAATAAGTGATCAGTACTGGGCCATGAGGCAGCCCTCTTGGGAGCCTGGGATGGACAAAGCCCTCCACACTAGTTTTAGGACACATTCCACGATGATTCTCCTAAGGTTGGTGCCTGATAGCAGCTGAGAAGTCTTGAAGTATAAAGGAGCTCTAGAAGGGACTGCTGTGGGGGGGCGAAGCCTGGGCTTTTCACAGGTAATGTCACTGCCAGGTGGGTGCTCATTGAGAAAAGCCTCCCTTAGCGGTATGCGGTGGAAGTATGCTAACACGGTATGCTAACACGATCCAGTTATGTGGTCTGAGTGGGATGAAGTGGGAGGGTGCAGGCAGTATGAGGGAGACCTAGGGACAGGGAAGGGGATCCCTGGGACTACAGCATGAAGGACATGGCTCCTCTCTCCCATTTATCAGTCCCCAAACACTGCCACATGTAGCCAGAACCCTGGGTGGGCCTGGATGATTGTGGGACCAATGCTTACCATCTTTCCTCCTGTTGCCCGCATATGATGTTGCTCTGCCAGCCAGTGCTTATCCTGGGGGTCAGCTGCATACTGTGAGGGATGAAGTCACAGGGGAGAATTCAGTCGAGTGTGAGGCGGCCTTTGTTCATTAGTACCTGGCAGACACCTGGCGCATGCGCACTAGTCTCTGCACAACAAGCTGAGTTCATTCCCGGGAGGCCAGGGACCCAATTCCCAGAGATTTAGGGCACTTCTAATTCTTACACCCTCTGTTTCTCAAAATACAGCATCTCTGGCAACTGGTAACTAGTTTAGTTAGAGCTTCTGCCTTTCAAAAATGACCCACAGGGGCTTAGAACACCCATGTTGTTATGGCGCCTGTGTTTCTAAGTCAAAACACAGGACTCCTTATGCACTAAGCAAGGGAGAAGAGAATCATGGTGAAGAGCCTGGCCTTGGCATTAGAAAAACAAGATGTGAAATTCTGCTTCTTCCATGTATCAGCTGCTGTGAAGCCTAATTTGTGTCTCAGTTTCCTCACAGATAAAATGGAGAGTAATAATACGTACAGGGTTGTGGTTAATAAGTGAGACAGTGTATAGAAAGTGCTAAACACAGTATCTAGCCCATTGACACATTGTTGGACTGAAGCAATAAGTCCAAACTGCACTGAAGGCATGCTGAATCAAAGGAGGTTTTATAAAATATTTGAGACAAAGCTGGCATATCTGGGCTGTATAGTCAAAACCCTTCAGGTTTAAATAAATATTTCACTTTACAAAAAACGTTAAGTATTCATCAAAATTTTTAAAGCACATCCCCTCCCAGGCAATGATCTGCCGGCATCACCCACACATGTGCACAGGAAACACGTACCACAATGTCTGCGGCAGTATGTTTATAACAGCAAAATACTGAGGGAAGACTTACTCACCAACAGGGGTGTGAGTAAATCAAGTTCGGGAGATCTAGTCTATGAATTCTATATGCTCTTGTTAAGTGCCACTGAGTCTCTTTCAACCCATCGTGGTCCTGTGTAGGGGTTCCAAGGAGCAGCTGGTGGGTCTGATTTTGTGGTTAAAGTCCAGTGCCTATCCTATAGCACCACACTAGGACGCCATGAATCTATATGGTGGTAATGGTGGTGGTGTGCCGTGGAGTCAGTACCCTTCATAGGGTTTCCGTGGCTGTATATCTTTATGGGAGCAAAAAGCCTCATCATTCTCCCGCGGAATGGCTGGTAGTTTCGAATTGCTGACCTTGAGGTTAATAGCCTGACTTGTAATCACTATGCTACCAGAGCTCCTTATGAATCTATATAGCTATTAAAAATAAAATAAGGGAGACAGAATTTAATAACATTAAAAAAAACCAACTCCTAAGCCATTGTCCACTCAATAGGTTTGCAGTGGTCAGCAAACTTTTTCTGTCAAAGAGCAGAAAGTAAATTCTTTAGGCTTTTTGCCTGGCACATATGAGGGAGCTTCAAAAAGTTTGTGGGGAAAAGCCGTTCTCTTTTCATTCCAGCCCCTCGTATGCTCATCTATTTCCATATCCTCCTGTAAGAACAGCTGAGTTGGAAACAAACAGGTCACGATAGCCGTTTGCCCTGCATGTGACTCTGTGCTCAGGTGGGCAAGTTCTGTCTGTTTGTTCACAGTTGTATCGCCAGCATTTGGAGAGTACCAGGAACATTGCGGACCCTCAATATTTGTTCAGTGCATGCATGAATGAATTTTGGGGTTAAAAAAAAAAAAAAAAATTCGGACAACATGACCTGGTCTCAATGTAAGAAAAGCAGTAAAGGGCGGACACAGGCGCACAGAATGATGGCAGTGCACCACATCTGTCAGCGGTCACCTCGGAGGTGAGGCAGCCTGGGGAAGGGCAACTTTGTGTTCTGAAAGCTCAGGCGCGTTATTTGAATCTTTTCCTTTTACTGTAAAAATGGGTTTATATACAGTTAGTGTAAAGGACATAAAATACATGAACCTCAGCCTCCATGACCCTGAGACCAGAAGAAATAGATGGTGCCCAACCACTAGTACCATCAGAAAGGGATCATACAAGCAGGCCCTTGATAAACAGTACCATCAGAAAGGGATCATATAAGCAGGCCCTTGATAAACTGGGAGAAAATGTGGAACAAAAGTCATAACCATTAAAAAGACCAGGCTCACTAATCAGACAGAGATTGGTGGAACTCCTCCTGCCTTTGAACTCTAGATACCTTTCAGGGCTGGAAGTGAACTCACCACCCTGGCTCAGTTTTCAGCCAAATATAAGGTTTATAAGAGAGGTCTGAACTCTTTAGAATAATCAACCATTCAAATGAGATGAAAAGGGCAGCAACTGACCAAGAATAACATTTAGAAGGTAGGAAACATTATGGAAGCAGGAGGAATAGAAATGGGAAGCCAAGGGAGGAAGGGGGATGAGTGAGGTTACACTGTGGGGATTGCAATCAATGGCATGAAACAAACTGTGTATGAATTACTGAAAGGAAAACTGATGGGCTTTGCCAACCTCTACTCAATTCACAGTAAAAAGTTTCTTGTTTTTTTTTTTAAAATTGGTTTATATATTATTTCTTAAGAAAAATACCAACATAAAACCATCGATTAATTATAAATACGACACCACAATATCACAGAGACAGCAGATATTTCAGCTTACACAAAGAACCAAAGAGTGGCTTAAGCAAGTAATCAAAATACAGAGTCAGAAAACATAATACCAAAAAATGATAGGGATTTCATAAGTAATATTTAGGTACCTTCAACAGATTGAGAGAATGAGAAAACTGAAGATGAAATTAAGGAAATTACAGACAAAACTTTAGAATAATTCAGGAAAACACTGTAAGAATAAGTTGACAAAATAAATGAAAAAAAAAAAAACTGGAACCATACAAAAACAGCAAATAGAAAGCCTGAAGATTAATACTAAGACCTCAGAAATGGATTATATCGTGAAAGGACAAAGAAGTAGAACTGAATCAATGAAAACGAATCTCTTTAAGAAAACAAAAAAATATGAGAAACAACAAAAAAATCCAAAGAAGGCCTAAGATTTATGTGAGACACTATGAAGAGACAAAGACTTATGTGTGATTGGAATTCCAGAACAAGAAGAGACAAAAACAAACAACATAACAACAAAAAAACTATAGTGAAAACTGTCAGAGAGTTGTTGCGAATAAAACATTCTTCACGTCGTGAAGTGAGCATGGTGGCTGCATGTGATAAGCACTGGACTATGAACCACAAGGTCCTTGATTCGAGCCCACCAGCTGCTCCATAGAAGATAGATGAGGCTTCTACTCCTCAGAAACCCTTTACAGGGTCGCTAGGAGTTGGAACTGACTCCATGGCACTTAACGATAACATCATGAAAGGTGAGAAGATATGCATTCAAGAAGTTGAATAAACCCCAACAGGACAGACCCCCAAAGAAAATCACTAAGATAAATTGTAATTAAACTTTTCAAAACCAAAGACAAGGAAAGAATCCTGAGAGCAGCTTAGGAAAATGCAGTTACCAACAAAGGAGAACTAATAAGATTGAACTCTGATCTCTCAGCAGAAATCCTGCAGACAATGGGGTAACATAAAACTCTGAAAGAAAAAAAGAATCAAACCCAGCAAAATTGTTTATCAAATATGATGGCAAACTTAAGATATTTCCATATAAACAGGAATGAGAAACCAGACCAACCTTCTACAAAATACTACGGGAGTTCTATGGACAGAGAACAAACAACAGCAGACAACAACCTGAGATTAACACACATGACAATATTGCCCAAAGTAAAACAAACCTACAAGGCTCAGAATAGGGAACCAGAGATAGCAGTTTGTAACAACAACATAAAACCAAAGTAAAAAGAGATAATGTAATTAAAGAACTTCCAAATGAAGAGGAAATGATAGCAAAAAGATTTCAAGGAAAACAAAACAAAACAAAACAAAACATCCTAATTGTAATTCTAAAACTAGACCGCGATGTCTTACTCCTAGCTCTAGCACAACCCCTAGGCCTACACCCCTAACACTAACCCTAATCCTAACCATAACTGTTAACACTAGACAAATTCCTAGGCCTAGCCTAGACCTAGTTATAACCCTAATCCTGACCCCCCCAAGAAAAATTAACCATCATGTAACAGGAATTCAAAGATAGTCCAAGGGGATGTGGATCTTCCAGAACAGACAGACACGGGTGGGGGAAGAAGGTCACCCAGGTGAATGGAACAGCAGGTGTGAAGTCACTAAGAAAGGACAATGAAACCCTGAGATTATCACCCCACTGTCACCTTCAAAGCGGGAACTATCTTACACCCTGTGGCTCCGCTCCGTTTCCAGCCAAATGCCCATAAGGTGAACAATGGAGGAACGCGCTCCTTAGGACTATCAGCCATCTGAGATCAAGCGGGCAGCATCTGCCCAGAGATGCAGCTCAGAAGGGGGGTAAGTGGGAGCATGTGGAAACAGGAAAGACAGAGTGAGATGCATGATAGTACACTGTGTGGATAGCAAGCAATGAAACAAAATGTGTATGAATTATTGAATGGAAAACTGGTGTGCTCTGTAAACCTTTACTTATATCACAATAAAAGGTGAAAAACAGAGGAAAATGATGAAGACGCAAGCAGGTTAAGTTGTCTAGGTGTCAGGGCAATGGGAAGGTAGCCCTGCTTCAGGTCTGCCCTTTAAAGACTTTGCAAACTTGGACAGAAGTGGTAGACAGATCCTATGATTCTGGAACCCAAATGGGCTGTGCGGTCTGGCAGTAGGCCCCAAACCGTACGGACAGGTGCCGAGAAGCAGGCCTTCCATATACTTGCCCTGTTTTCCCAATGAATCGAGCAGCTCCTGTGACTGATAAAGTGCAACTTCATGTAAGAAGAGGGCGAGGGGCTTCGTGACCCACTCCCCCCAGTGGAGACTAAAGCATAGCTGTTCTCAGGGTCAGAACCAGTGCCGTTCTTATTGGCTGAATAAGAACAAGTCCTCACTTACTGGCTGAGTAACCTCGCGCAAGTCACACAGCCTTTCTCAGCCTTGATTTTTTCCTTGGTGAAATTAATAATAATAATAATAATACCAATCTTAAAGCCAGTTCCAGGACTTAATGTAGCTTCAAAAAGTGTTTGGCATACAATGAAATGCAGGGAGTGTCTCAATTACTGCTGCACAGAGAGGATGGACAAATGACAAAAGGCAGACCGGCAGCTCCACTCTGGACCTCCTGCCTCCCAGATCTGTGTGGGTCCCCAGCTTCTCTGTGTCAGCTCCTCCCAGTGCAAGAACCAGGCTCATTTCCACCACTCACCTACCTTAAAGAGGTGGGGGTGCTTGATATAGATCCTCCCTCTGGTGCCCCCCATGCCAAGGGCCCTGAAAAGTAACAGATGAGGGTAAGGCCTCCAGCAGTTGTAGTTCCAGTGGGGGACCTGCCATGCCCCTTCCTTAGCACCAAAGCTCCCAGACTTACTTGTTAGCTCGAGATCCCAGGACAAAGGTGGTAGATTCATTCAGCCGAGCTGGGTCCCACTGCAAAAATCACAGCGGCTGCTGAGGGGAGGCGTCATTTGCTGGGCAGACCCCAACACTCCTCCCCTTGCCCTCTCCCACCATGACCCTGTCCTTTATTCAACAGGCAGTTGATTTTAAATTTCATTTTGCTTTTGTTGTTGGGAACACATACAGGGAAACACACACCCATTCCACAGTTCTCCACGTACAATCCAGTGCCACACATGAACTTCTTGGAGTTGTGCAAATATTTTCTCCCTCCTCTCTAATTGTGCCAGTTGGCTATTGTCACTTTGACTTCTTATAGTTCTTAAAAGAGCACAATGTGTGGCTCGCCCAGGAGATATCAAGGCAAGTGGTCAGGTCCCCCTCAAGGCAAACCCCCTTCTAAGACTAAGACTCAATGGGAATACACGCTCTGATTGGTGACTATGTTCATCACCAATAAGGGGAACTGAGGGAAAAACAGCAATGAAGCTGCGAGCTAAGCCCTACAACACAACGCTCAACAGACTCCTGTGAACCCGGGTGGAGACCTGGTTGGCCAGCAGTGTGCCAAGTCCAGGGGCCTCCTGGACCCAGAGTTAGCAACATAGCCACACAGGACTAGAGTGGACAGTGAAACATCCACCTGATAAGAAAAGAGGGCATATGCATAAGAACACCCACACTTGCAGATAATACCCACTTGACCTGGCTTCAACGGCTGGATGATCAGAGCTCAACCAGAAGAAGAAAGAAGAGGGAAAAAGAATAATCAGACACAATTTGATGAACTTGACCTACACCTATGGAAGCAGCAGCTCAAAAGAGGGAACAAATCTTTACAACAAGGATCATTCCCACCTCCTCTGTACCCAGAGAGGACAAGGATGGGCAACTTGGACATTGGTTACCCAGAATGGGGGTGGGGGTGGGGGCTACAGAGGCAAGAAGTGACTGGCTTACAAGCTTTCAAAAGGGAACCTAGATTCAGAGGGCGTGGAGCAAGGTAGAATCTCCACTGAGTAGTATCCATTCTGCCTAGTCAGGGCTGATGAAAGGAGATGTGGATAGGTCTCTTGTGATACAATAGTGAATAATTGTTTTCAGGACTGATTGTAAGGGCTGGAAATGTAAAGGTGGACATTTTAGGGCAAAGGGAGGGGAGTGATTAACCTTACAGTCTAGGAATGGAGGTCCCTGGGACCATCAAAGGAGAAGAGCAGAGAACAGAACCCTACCCAGAGAAGCAGTGATGCCAGGGCTGGAGGCCGAGACAATGACATGGGGAGATGGAGCAGCTGGAGACTTTGGACCTGGAGAGAGAGAGGGACGGTGTGTGGGCAACTGGGGGGCAGGCTTGTGGAGTGTACCCTTTGGTTGATCGATGACGCATGGAAGGGATTGTAACCATGGCAAGGAGATGATATACGACAGGATCAATGTGAAGCTGATGTCCTCCCATGTAAACGATCACAGAATTCACAGTAAAGCATTAAAATAAGAGCACAATGCTCAGGGCAGACTGCTTACTTGAGACTGAGTACTTGACAGTTTAGATGGAAACCTGAGAGCAGTGAGTTTATGGTAAGGGGGGAGGAACAACTCATGAAAGAAGGGGGAGAGCAGGAGAATGGGGGTACAGCTCTAAGAAGGTAATCAACATCACTGAAGGATCCACGTTGAAACTGCTGATTTGGTGTATGCTTTGCTAGGCATATTCTCAACAACGACAACAATAATAAAATAAATAAAAAAGAAAAACAGATACTGAGTACTTATTGTATGCTAGGCCCTGTGTTAAGTATTAGGAGCTCTGAGCATTGTACGATAAGCACTGGACTGTTAACTGCAAGGTCAGCATTTCAAACCCACCAGTTGCTCCACAGGAGAAAGATGAGGCTGGCTGCTCCTGCGAAGGTTTCCAGCTTCAGAAACCCACGACAGGGCCACCGAGTCCAAATCAGCTTGATGGCAGTGAGTTTGGTTTTGGTTTGGTGCTAGGCACCGGAGACAGAGAGACCAGACATATGGGCAGATAACCGTGGGCTAGAATATAGACAGGCGCAGGGCACTTTCTGAGGCTAACAGTGAGGGATGCTCCTTGAAGAGCTAATTCCCAAGCTCACTGTGAACGGAGGAGCATGAATTAGATGAGGTGGCAGCTTGGACAAAGGCAGGGGAGGTTGGCGTGGCTAGCTGGGAAAACAACGAGCAATTCTGTGTTGTTAGGGAGTTAGGGAGTGGCAACTGATGGGGCTACAGAGAGAAGTAGAGGGTCTAGGGCCCAAGAATGCTCAGTTCAGGGTTCATACTTTATTTATTCTAGGCAGTAGGGAGTTGCTAAAGGCCTCCAAACAGGGAGTGACAGACAGACTTGCTTTCAAGGCAATTCACTTTCCCCGTAATGGATAATGCATTTGAGGGACAGAGGAGGGAGGCCAGTTGAGAGCTGTTATAACATGGCATGTGGAAGGAAGACGAGGACTTGTACCACATTCAGGAGGTGGAATCATCAAGGACCTGACTGAATACAGGGAGGTAAGGGAAGGAAGAGGCAAAGGTAACGAAGGGAGATGACGGAAAAGAAGGCCTGGTCGGAAAATTCTGCACTCTCTTTTTGAGATGTTGAGTTTGGAATGCCTATGCAACTTCTGTTTTGGAAGAAGTGCAGCCAGAGTGCTCCTTGGAGGCCAGGATGGCTAAGCTTCGTCTCTCCTACTTTGGACATATAGTCCGGAGGAAACAATTGTTGGAGAAGGATGTCACGCTGGGTAGGGTGGAGGGTCAGAGAAAAAGAGGAAGACCCCCAACGAGATGGATCAGCCAGGTGGCATCATTGATGGACTCAAGTGTGGCAGCGGTAGTGAGGTTGGCCCAGGATTGGACATTGTTTCGTTCTGCTATGCATGGGGTCGCTATAAGTCGGTTCCGACTCGATGGCACCTGACAACAATGCAACTTCTAGGCAGAGGCAGCCATCAGGCAGTAGGATGGATATACAAGTTTAAACTAGAAAGAGAGGTCTGGGAGTTTAATTCATGGCATGGTGGCCTCTGAAGCTGTAGTGTGGAGAATTTAGATTCTCTACAGGTGCACAGCCTTGAGAACTCTACACAGCATGGCTAGGAGTCAGTGAGAGAGAGGAACCTACGATAGAGAAGTGGGTCAAGAGGAGAGTTCTGGGGAAACACCCACATATATGGGTCCTCGTATGCACAAGAGGCAGAGAAGGCATGTTTGGAGAGGAAGAGAAAGATCCCAGAGAATGGAGGACTAACAGCTCTAAGGGAGGCAGAGTCTGAGAGAAGAGTGATCCTCTGTGGAGCAGAGAGGAAGGCAAGCCGAGTGGGAGCCAATGTGTGCAGGGCAAGCCTGAGCCAGACCGCGGTGTTCTTGCTACCTTAGTGCACTGCCATACACCACTGTAGCTGAAGATAGGATTTTCTTGCTAAAAGAGTGTGCAGACCACTGCTCTGGAGACAACTCAGAGCTAATGGCTACGAGACTAGACTCTGGGGTCAACGGGCCTTGGGTCGGAGACCTGGCTCTCCCACACAGAAGCTATGTGACTTTGGCCAAGTCTCTAAGCCTCAGAACTCTGCAAGACAAGTGGAGAACACAGTTTCCTGGTGTACAGAATGGTAACCGAATTGACCTCATAAGACAGGTGTAAAGATTAAATGACATAATCCATACAAAAGCTTTGAAGCATGTCCGTCACTTATTAACCACTTAATAAGCAATAGTGATCGACTAGCTTGTCTAGGGAGAAGGCTTCTCCAGCAAAAACTCAGCTCCTCTCTCAGGTTTGCTCCTGATTCTGATCCTACCTGGAACAGGGAAAGACAAGTCTGGAATGGAGCACACACACCTTTCACCAGCCCAGCCCCTGTGCCTTGGGTGGGTCTCCCTGGGGCGGTGGTTATATCACCCTACCTTGGGGCCTTCTCGGCGAATTGGCTCACAGGATTTTGGTTTCCATCTGATTGGAAGGAAAGAAGAGAGGTGAGTTTTCCAAGGTGGGAGCTGCAGCTGCTGCTGGGAGCCCCTCATGTGCTCTGGGGAGTGGTCAGTAATCCGATTCCCTGTCCTACTCATCTGAAATGATTCCCCAGTGGCTGCAACTCTTTATGGGTACTGGGCTTCCACGCTAGGTTTCAATAAAAGATTCTGCTGCTTCAAAAATGTTTGAAAGCGACATTCTGGAGCCGGTGCAGTACCGTTCTGACCTGTACTCACTCACAGGACCTTGAGCACGGTATCGGGTCTCAGTTTCCTTATTGGCAAAATCAGTTACAGCTTCTTCAGCAGGAGGCAGTAGACATAGTAAGGAATGTAGGATGCTTGGAGCACCCAACACTGTGGTGTTCTGTCAAGCACGGGCTGAGCTGTTCTGGGGCAAAACCACAATAGAACAGCCTCCTCCTCTCTGCCTTCTCATCATACCCCGCACACCAGGCTCACCACTTAGATGGAGCTGGGAGTTGGGTTTGCCAGGCACAGAGCTCCTCCTTGCCTCCAGGGCCACCCGCTTCCACTCCCCACGTCTGCCCACGCCACACTGGGGGTCCTACTCACACCAGGCCGGCGGCTGCCCGGTCGTTTGCCAGGATGTGTCCAGGAGGCCGTCCCTTCCTCTGTCACAAAGAACAGCTGTCAGAGGCCTGACCTTGTGGGAAAAGCCCCCTCATTCCCCCATTGGTAGGGCCAGGGTTTCCGAGTGGAGGTGGTTTTCCAAAGAGTGTAAAGAGGGGGTGGTGAGTGTTTCTAGTGTCTTTGCTGCTCACGTCTAGAAAGGCCCAGCGGTGCAGGAGGGGCTCAGAACCTTCTAGAGCTGCAGAGCCCTTTCCTGCCAGACCCCAGGACAGGCTTACCTTTTTGGGGATGGGGCTTCCTCGATGGGCACATTCCTCTTCTGTCTGTCGGCCCCGCTGGAGGAGGAGGAGGAGAGAAGCAGGTCAGTGGAAGGCCAGAGCTGCAGGAGAGAGCTCTGGACTCCTTCCCTGCTGTGGCCCCATCCTGCTCAGGCCTCAGCTGTCCTCCCTGGGTGATTCTGTGTGGACTGGGTCCTACAAATGGGCAATGCAGACCTTCTGGAAGCCCCCTCAGTGCCCCAGGGTGCAGTGGTGACTCTGACCTTTATCCCTGGAAGCTCATGGGTCAGTCTGGGGATGACTTTCTCACCATCGGAAAACAGCAGCTTAGCCTAGAGGGATTAAGCAGCGACAATTATCATTTGGGATCGGGTGAGAACCCTGTGCCTCCTTTTTAGAACTCCAAGCTAGGTAAAACATTTGAATGGTCAGTACAATGGCACCCCCCCACAGGACTATCAATAAGATAGCTAGTTCTTAAAACATTAAAAAATGAACACTGTTGAAAAATTTAAAAATGTAAAAAAAAACCCCAAAAACCAAGTCAAACCTGAAATCTCATTTCACACAGAAAATTGTTAACATTTTGATGTAAACTCTTTCTTTCACCCATGTAAATATATACTATATACTGAGTCCTGGTGTGGGGCTGCAAGATAAGCATTGGACCAAAAGGTCAGTTTGAATCGTAAGGTTGGCGGTTCAAACCCACTAGCCACTCCTACACAGGATTGCTATGAGTCAGCACTGACGTGATGGCACTTCACAACAACATATATAAGAAGCGCTGGTGGTGCTGCAGGATAAGCACTGGACTGCGAACCACAATGTCAGCGGCTCAAACCTACCAGTCTTCTGCTCCCATAAAGACCGGCAGCCGTGTCAATCCAATACAGTCTCGCTATAGAGCCAGAAATGACTCTACAGTATCTAACAACAACAACAACACACACACACACACACATTTAACTAAATGCATTAAGACACACATCTTCCTCAGCAAAATGCTTTTTCTTTTCAGCAACGATGGCGTTCCTGGTAGCTATGCGGTGGGCCCACAGCAGTAAACAGGTCAAGCCAGGGCCCTAGCTTATGGAGTTTACATTCTGTGGGTAATCTGGATCATCAGCAAACAACCAAAATAGAAACAGTCATTTCTGGTCACACTATATGCTCTGAAGGATAAAGAAAAGCCCCAGGTAGAGCGACAGAGAACCATCTGAGGGGAGGCTTACTTCAGGCAGGACTCGCTGAGGAGCCTGCTATGAAGAGAGCAGAGGAGAGCATGTTTCAGCAGCAGGAAAGAGAGCAAAGCCCTCAGCTGGGAACATGGCTTGTTTGAGGGAGAAAATGGCCAGTCAGAGGGAGCAGGGTAATTGAGGAGTGTGGTAAGGCAGCGGAGGGGGAACCTGGAGGCCTTGTGAAGAGCTGGGCTTTTGGGACCGCTTTTAAAACACAGACTTTTCAGTGCGGTCTGGGTGACAGTTTACAGAGCAAATTAGTTATCCAAAGACTCAGACACATTTTGTTTCATGATACTGACTGTGATCCCCACAATGCAACACTTTCCTCTTCCTTCCTGGGTTCCTCATTCCCAGGTGCCTCTTTTCTCTCCTTCCTGACTCCTGACTTTGTATTTAGCCACGTGCTAAATTTTCGTCTCACACGGGGTTGACTGATCCTCCCTCCCTGGGGTTCACTTGCTAAGTCTATGGTTTGGCTGAAAGTCGATCTCTGGGGCGAGTTCATTTCCAGTTCCCCCTGTCTAAGGGTCAGTCTTGGGAGTTCCATCAGTATCTATCAGATCAGTAAATCTGGTCTTTCTGAATTTGAGTTTTGTTCCACATTTTTCTTTATCTAGGACCTTCTATCATGATCCCAATCAGAACAGTTGGTGACAGCCAGCTTGCTCTGGTCTCAGTGGTCTGAGGTTAGTCCTTTGGACTGTTTCTTTGATTTTCTTAATTCTTTTTTGTCTTTGATGGGGAAAGACCAATATTTGCAACTTAGATGGGTCCTTGCAAACTTTTACGATCCCAGTTGATGTAGCGCTATAGGATCAGCACTGGACTCAAACCCCCCAGCTTCTCCTCCGAAATCTTATACAGGGTCGCTATGAGTCGGAATCAACTCAACAGCACTTAACAACAACAGTCACCAAGGTAGATATGGAACATTGCCTTGTGGGCTGTTATGCCAACTGACCTAGATGTTTCCAAAGACAATGGTCCTAAGTCTCTAAGCCAAATGACTCATCCTCTCCAAGTATTAAGAGTAGTTATATGGCTAAAACTTTTTAATAATTTTGCCTTCTGTATGCTCTACTGACATGGAGTCCTGATGTGGTGTTACAGGATAAGCACTGGACCACAGGATGGTTTGAACCATGAGTAAGGCTGGAGTTCAGATCTACCAGCCACACCTTGAAAATCCTATACAGGGTAGCTATGAGTCAGAACCGACTCAGCGGCACTTAACAACAATGCTGTACTATAAGGAACCCTGGTAGTGTAGTGGTTACGTATTGGTCTGCTCACTGAAAAGTCAGCAGTTCGAATCTGCCAGCTGCTCTGTGGGAGAAAGATGAGGCTTTCTACTCCCATAAAGATTTACGCCCTTGGAAACCCTGTTCAGGGTTGCTATGGGTCAGAACGGATTCGACGGCACTTAACAACAACAACAACTCTGCACTTAGTGATTTTCTGTTTCTTACCCTCCCATTTCTGGTAACCATTAAAGAATGTTTCTTTCTCTTATAGAAACTTTTTCTTGACTTTTTATAACAGTGGCCTCATACAGTATTTATACTTTTGTGATAGACTTTTTTCACTCAGCATAATGTCCTCCAGATTTACCCATGTTACGAGGCATTTCAGGGAGTCTTCCTTGTGTAGGTGGCCACTTTGCTACAATTTCCTTGGGTACCAAGTTAATTCTGTTCAAGACCAAGACCAGCTTCTTGTTGTCATCTGCTGTAAGACAGCCTCCTCCTTTTGGAAGCAGCGACAGCCCAAAGGGTCTCTGGCATCCAAGACTTCTAGAATCACATCAGATACTCCACCACCTTACGGAATTCCTTATAATAAGCCTTCCTTGTGGCTTCATCATTCAGCTGAGGAAACAATTTATTTCCTGCAAAACTACCTCCTTGATCTCAAATTCTTCGTGGTGTCTCATGACATCCTGACAGTAGCTCTTGATGGTCCTGTGTCTGTGTTTCTCTTGATCCCGGGCAGCCTGCTGCTTCTCTCTCATCTACTCCTCTCTTTTCTCCTTTAATTCTCCCTCTTGATTGGCATGACCATTGTAGTGAACAAGCTGGGAAGCAGAGGAAACTTTGCAGGTTGTTTTCTTCCTAATAGCCTTTGTAGACCTCTTGCTGCCTTTGGAAACTGGCTTTTTATTTTTGTGTCTGAGTTTCATCATGATGAGCAGCTTCAAAGTAGGTAGGTTCAAATCTGCTGGCTTCCTTTCTACACTTATGACATGGATCCGAGTGAAGCCTTTAATCCTTGTGTAGTGTTTTACTGTGTACACCTTAGCTTGTTTATTCATTCATCCGTTGATGGCCATCGAGGCCGTTTCCAGTTTTTGAACAAACCCTTCTTGAAGCTCTTTTCTACTAGCTCCCGGGCCACCCTGAGGCAGTCCAGTGTGGTTGTTAAACCAAAGGTTGGGATTCAAGTTTATCCAGAGGCACCTCCAAAGAAAGGTCTGGCAATCTACTTCTGAACTATCCATCATTGAAAACCCTATGGCACGTACTTCTACTGTATCACACACATGGGATCGCCGTAAGTCAGAGATGAATGGATGGCAAGTGGTTTTGATTTTGGAAGGAAATGTATCAAAATGTCAATAGACATTATTACTTTTAACGGTCTTCATCAAAATTAATAATTTTCTCTTTTTAGTACGATAGCAGTAGGTAACACACAATGAGTGTTTAGTTAATGATCTACAGGCTTTAAGCAGAGATACCATAAATGGGCAGCTATGGAGATGGTGCAGGATAAGCACTGGACTCCTAACTGCATGGATGGCGGCTCAAACCGACTTGACGCCACTTGACAACAATGAGATGAAACGGTCAAGATGTGGTTTCAGAAATGAAAATAAGCAAATTGAGTCAAAAAAGCAAATTAACCAAAACTAAGACAAAAAACCCCCAATCTAAGTGCTTCATGTTTGGTCTGAAGTGTGTGCTAATACAACAAAATGTTCTGGTTGCAGTTAAGAAACGGGAACCCTGAGAAAGTTCCAAGTGTTCTGGCCACTGACAGTTCAACTGAGAGAAGAGACCTGGGAAGGAGCCCAGGATGCCAGCTGCCCCAACTTGCCAGGGAAGGTCGGAGCTTTCTCTGCTGGGGATGAGGAACAGCTTTAGTGTGAAAACACAAGGGGACAAGGTGACATGACAGCACTTGGGGAAACAGTCACAAAATCCAAGCCGTGTCTCTAGGGGCACGTGGTGGTTCTGTTGAAGCACAGTACAATTTTGGATCCTACCAGCAATGTGCCTATTAGGAAAGACAACAATGCTGCGAGGGAGAGCTACTTACTCTAACTATGGCTGTACCCACCATGCACTTAATACCGAGGATGTTCCAAGTTGCATGTCCATATGCTATGTTAGCTGTAATTAATGTCTATGATCTCATTTAACAAGGAGCTCTGGTAGTGTAGTGGTTACAAATCGGGCTGCTAATCTCAGGGTCAGCAGTTCGAAACTACCAGCTATTCTGTGGGAGAAAGATGAGGCTTTCTGCTCCCATAAAGATTTACAGCCTCGGAAACCCTGTACAGGGTCGCTATGGGTCGGAACCGACTCAACGGCACTTAACAACAACAAGGAGTAAAGATCACAGTGGATCTAAGTATTAAGAATGCCCCCACCTTAGTTGAGGGTGTGACTTGAGTCACTACCTTTAGTGTCCCTTGGGGGTGTGGTCTGGCTCCAATTGATAGGACTGCGACTGCTTTGGAAAAGCTCGCCCTCTTGCTCTGGATCTGACATCTGACCATCAGTTCCTGGGACTTTCGGCCCATCGCCTGATCTGATTCCCCACCTTCCACAGTCTTGTGCATCAACAGCCTGTTGTCTGACTTGCCAAAACATTTGGGTTCCTCAGCTCTTGAGACTACATGGGCAACAAGATTCTTCCAGATTGACCTCTGAATACGGATTTGGGATTTGCCAGTCTCCACAACTGCGTGAGTCATTTCCATTGACAGCTGTGAGTTCTGTGAGACACTGCAGCATGTGCAAAGTCCTGGGACTTGAGGGAGGGGAGGAGTGATGACTGATAGCCAGGACTGTGGAGGGGTATAACATGTCAGAAAAGAAACCAGTTAAGACATCTTTAACCTCCAACCCATAGTGACCAGCCCCATGATGATCTTTTTCAAAGAAATGACTCCTGGGACTTGAGAGGAGGGAGGAGTGGTGACTGATATCAAGGACTGTGGCGGGGTCTAACATGTTGGAAAAGTCGAATAGTTGGGATATCTTCAACCTCCAACTTACAGGGACCAGCCCCATGCTGATCTTTCTAAAAGAAATTATTCATGCAGACACTTTTCTGCTCACAACTCCACATCTTTCATTTGACGTGTAGTGCTCTGCTTGATGTGGTCTCAGTTTTTCTTGCCAGCCTTACTGGTGGGCATTCTTTTTCTCTTCACCTTCAACAGCCAGCAACACTGCTTCCTTCTGCTCCTTGGGCATATTGTGTTCCCTTCTGCCCCTGGGTTCTGCAGCCTCTAATATACGGTCTCACAAAACTTCTCACAGTTTGTGATTATCTGAGTGATGTCAATGGCTCTGAAGGCAAGGAGTGTGTCCATTTTGTACATCACTGTTGGGGCCTGGTGTAGTACCAGGCATATAGTATGCATTAAAGGACTATTGGTTGAAGAAATAAATACATTTGAGAAAGCATTTTGGGATATAAACAACAATGAAAGCTTTTACAAATTTAATCTTGATTCAATAAATAATAGATATTATAACTATGTAAGTAATAATATTAGCAAACGTCCGTCACAGTGATCACACCACACCGCAGTCCCAGAGTGAAGGCGTGAACTAACTCCTCTATGAGAACCGGCAGGGCTTTCACTGAACTGAACAGAGAGAGCGCGCTCTCCCCTTTCAGAGGTGAGGCCAAGGCCCTGGGCTTGCTTCTTTCTACGGCTGTGCCTAAGTAGACAGCCTGCCAACTTTCCAGAAGCCAATTCTCTCTTGTTTCACTAACCTCAAAGGACCGAACTCAAATGCGCCCTTGTAGCTCTCATGAAGCTACAAGGTTAAAGAAAGCACTCCATCTTTGACAGTGAATGGTTTCACCATTAAGCACGGAATTTGAGGGATGCTGACAATTCCTACTACTAACAGCATCTGACACATGTTAGCAGGTTCACAACGGTCTTGGGAACAGAGCCATTTGTAGCTCTGCTGTCACGCTTCCTGACCACAGTTTGAAAGGCAGCAAGGCAGGAAGAGTGACAGTCCCCATGATACCAAAAGGAGTCACACTACTGAAGGTGACTGACCAAGCACTTACAGAAGGGACACAGACTTCAGCTAATCTAACACCTGCTTATTCCAAGCCATGGCTTCTTCGTCTGTAAAATTGGAACTTTTATATAGTTACTTTTTTTCTGCAAATGAAATAATGACTACTCAGTCAGTGTCTAGCATACAGTAGTTACTGGATACATGTTAGTGTCCCTTTCCTTCCTTTCTCTGTCAGCCACAGCTGAAGCCTGATATGGGTGTCAATGACTTACTGAGTGAGCATTCCCAAAGATGCCACCAATGATGGGAACATGTTTTCTAACAGAGCCCCGAAAGCTAGGCCTTGTGCCTCCATCTCCTCTTCTTGGTCTCACCTGCTCCAAGCAGCTGCGACAAGCCTCCTGGATCAGCTGCTCTGCATCCACTTCTTCCCCGATGTTGTCTCGCACGTTCAATGCTGCTTTCTGGAAGAACTAGGAGGAAGCACAGCAGCAGACGGGGTCAGGGGTGCTGCCACCTTCACCTGAAGGAGACAGCTAGAGAACACAGCGTTTATCCTACTTGCAAACAGAAGGGAAAAGCAATTAAGAGCACAGTTTGGGGACCACATGGGCTGAGACTCACATCCCAGGCTCTACAAGCACTTGACCTGAAGGTCGGCGGTTCAAACTCACCAGCGGCTCCTTGGAAACCTTATACAGGGTTGCTAGAAGTCAGAACTGACTCGACGGCACTTAGCCACCACCACCACTACCACCCTGTACTCTATCCCCTCTCTTCAAGACGTAATCATGGAGCTGCCCCAAGGATGGTCACTACGGCATTAATGTGGAAACAGTGCAAAATCAAAGCTTAACCTAAACATCCAACTACAGGTTAAAGAAAGCAATGACATATCCATACAATGACATATTATGCAACTGTCAAAATTAACATGTATCATTAACAATGATGGTAGTTCTGAGCTTGGCTGCTAGCCACAATGTCGGCGGTTTGAATCCAACAGCTTTAGCTGTTCCATGACAGAAAGACGAGACAGTCTGCTTCTGTGGAGATTAGTGGTGGAAACCCGATGGGGTAGCGCCACTCTGTCCTACAGGATCGCAGTGAGTTGGAATTGAATTGATGGCAACAGGTTTGTTTTGGTTTTGAAGGAAGCAAGTTACAAACGTTTGGTATATACAGCGTGAGCCTCTGTATGTATTGCAGCAAAAAAATATATGGAGACAAAAGAACTACCAGCATATATATTAAAACTATAAAAATACTTACTGAACCAATAGTGGTGAGATTACAAACGATTTTGTTCTGATTTATCATATTATCAAGTTACTTTTTTGGGGGCAATTGTTTAGTATCTGTTTAGTTGTTGTTAACTACCATTGAGTCTGTTCCAACTCATAGCAACCCTGTATAGAGTTTTCAAGGAGCAGCTGGTGAGCTTGAACTGCAAAGTTGGTGGTTCAAACCGACCTTGCAGAACAGCACATTAACCCATAACTCCACACCAGGACTCCATACATCGTTTTTAAAACTTTATTGTGAATTGCAGGATTGCTTACAGATAAGACCATCAGTTTACACAGAACAAATCATATACTGTGCCTCATCTCCATATTTACAATCCCCTCCCTGCAACAAGTCATCCTGCCTCCTCACTGTGGTTCCTATTTCCATTCCACTCTTTCCTGGCTCTTCTCAGCTGTGTCCTTAGGGAAATATGGTCCTTTTGATTCTGAATAATTGACCATTCCATCATTCATAGTCAGCATACCTTATTAGTGTTGTTTCTACGAACTAGAAACATCTTTCTAGTAAAACATGGGTCGGTAAAATATCTTTCTGTTATTCTCTGCTTTCAGCCAAGATCCATCTGACATCAGCAATGATATCCCTCATTCCACATCCTCTCCTGAATCCAGCCTGAGCCTCTGGAGGTTCTCTGTCAATGTCTGGCTGCGAACCTCAGGTCAGCAGTTCGAAACTACCAACCGTTCCGAGGGAGAAAGATGAGGCTTTCTGCTCCTGTAAAGATTTACATCCTTGGGAACCCTGTACAGGGTACCTATGAGTGGGAACCAACTCCACGGCACATGCCCACCACCACTCATTGGCTGAAAGTTGGGCCATAAGAGGGTGAGTTCCTTCCTAGACCTGAAGGAGGGTCGAGAGCCATAGTCTCAGGTTCCTCCAGTCTCTTTTTGACCAGTGAGCCTGGTCCTTTTTTTTTTTTTTAAATAATTTGGAATTTTCCATATTTTGCCACTCTAGCTAGGACCTTCTAATGTAATCCCTTTCAGTGCAGTTGGGAGTGGTAGCTGGGTGCCATCTAGTTCTTCTCGTCTCAGAGTTGTGGAGACCAAAGTTCACATGGTCCATGAGTCCCAAGCTTCTTCAGCTCTCATAACTCTTCTTTCTTCTGCACATGGAGAGACCAGTAAGTTTTTAAGATCCCAGACGTTACTCACCAAAGCAGGATGTAGAACACTGTCTTTGTGGACGCTATTCTGCCAAGTGACCATGGTGTCTCCTGTGACTATAGTCCTGAGCCCCGAGGCCCAACAACTCATTGCCTTAAGATATTTGATAATATTTAAGAAGTTTCATCATTTTCCCTGCTATATACTCCACCACATTCATAGTTGTGTTTGTAGGAAAGGTAAATACCCATATACAAACATCCTCTTTCAAACCTTTACTGGTGGGATATATAAACATATCTATCCCACTCTTCTCCCATACCCACTCAGCCTGTTCTCTGTCCATGTATCTACACACAAACACTGCTGTTCCAAGGTTGTGTACAGATCACTATTTATCTCTCTCCCCCTTAGCCCATTCATACCTCCCTGTCTTCATCATTTTGCTGCCAATCTCCTTCTTGTATATTGCCATCCCTATTGCCCAAGTTAACAGGTCTCTACCCTCTAGTCTGGTGTGGCACTGTGGGTTAATGCGCCAGGCTGCTAAGTCGTTTGTTTGAACTGCAAGGTTGTTGGTTCAAACTCACCAGCTGCTCCTTGGAAACCCTATACAGGGTTGCTATGGGTCGGAACCAACTCAATGGCACTAATAACAACAACAACCCTCTAGCTAGTGAATCACACTCCCTTTCCTTTCACCCCTAGTAACCATCAGAGTGTTTCTTTTAGTATGAAAACTTTTCCTTGAGTTTTTACAATAGCGGTCTCATACAATCTTTGTCCTTGGTAATCAACTAATTTCACTTAGCATAATGTCCTTCAGGTTTTGCAGATTCATTGTTGTACTTCACTGTTGCATAGTATTCCATTGTATGCATGTACCAAAGCTGGTTTATCCATTCTTCCATTGGTGGGTTTTTAGGCTGTCTTTAAGCTGTTGTCAATAGTGCTGCAATGTATATCGCTGTGCACATAACTACTTGTGTCCTGGCTCTTATATTTTATGTATGCATACTAGACTCTGTCTCTTATACTTTGGACATATTGTTAGGAGAAACCAGTCTTTGGAGGAGGATATCATGTTTGGTAAAGTAGAGGGTCGAACAAAAAGAAGAAGGCGGCTCCCAATGAGATGGACTGGCATAGTGGCAGCAATACTGGGCTTAAATGTAGCAATTGTAGTTAATTCAAATGTAGAAATTCACTCAAATGTAGATTGTGAGGCTGCCGCAGGACTGCTTTGTTATGTTGTACATAGGATCGCTATGGGTCGGTAAAACATCTTTCTGGTATTCTCTGCTTTCAGCCAAGATCCATCTGACGTCAGCAATGATATCCCTCATTCCACATCCTCTCCTGAATCCAGCCTAAGCCTCTGGAGGTTCTCTGCCAATGTCTGGTCGCAGTCACTTTTATATAATCTTTAGCAAAATTTTACTTTCATGTGATACTAATGGTATTATATGATGATTTCCACAATCCACTGGGGCATCTCTCTTTGGAACTGGCACAAATATAGATGTCTTCCAGTTAGTTGGTCAGGTAGCCGTCTTCCAAATTTCTTGGTGTAGATGAGTGAGTGCCTCAAGTGCTGCATCATTTTGTTGAAAGATTTCAATTTGTATTCCATCAATTCCCGGTGCCTTCTGTGTACCTTGGACTTCTTCCTCCTTTAGTATCACTGGCTCTTGATCATATGCTACCGCTTGAAATGGTTGAACATTGAGTATTTCTTTTTTTTTTTTTTAAAGTGTTTATGACAAATTTAGTGATAGTTTACAGGGCAGATAATCAGTTTACACTTAACAAACATTTTGTTTTATTGCAATGATTACAATCCCTTCAATGCAACATCAGTTAACAATATTTACCTCTATTACCTTTTTTTTGATAGACACAAAACATACAGAAAATATATATTTGTATAAATGTCCAAAGGGCACAGTTTGCAAGCTGGGCTCCTGCCCACAGGCACACAGCCTTCCTTATTCCACGGGCCTACAGTCCTCAGCTGCTCTGTCTCTACGCCACTGCCTCTGCCTCCATTCTGCTGTTGCTGCTTTTCTGGTTAGGATCCCATGCTCTTCCCTCGTGATGGTCATAGTGTCTTCTGGACCAGTTTTTTAGTACAGCAACTCTGGGTATTTCTTTCATCGTCTTTTGATGCTTTCTGCATCATTCAATATTTTGTCAATAGAATCTTTCAATATTGCATTTCGAGACTTGAATTATTTCTTCAGTTCCCTCAGCTGGAGGAATGCTGAGCGTGTCCTTCCCTTTTGGCTTTCTAACTCCAGGTCGTTGCACATTTCATTATAATAGCTGACTTTGTCTTCTTGAGTTGCCCTTTGAAATGTTCTATTTACCTCTTTTAACTCCTCATTTCTTCCATTTGCTTTAGCATCTCTATGGTGGAGAGCAAGTTTCAGAGTCTCTTCTGACATCATTTTGGTTTTTGCCTTCTTAATGACCTTCTACTTTCTTCCTGTATGATGTTCTTGATGTCTTCGGTGTTTAGGTCTAATGCATTAAATACATTCTTCGCATGATCTCTAAAATCAGGTGGGATATGGTCAAGGTCATTTTTTGGGTCTCATGGACTTCTTTTAATTTTCTTCAGCTTTAATCTGAACCTACATCGGAGCAATTGGTGCTCTGTCCCACAGTCTGCCCTGGTCTTGTTTTGGCTGAGGATATGGGGCTCTTCTGGTGTCTCTTTCCACAGACATGATCAATATAGTCAATGTGATTTCTATATATTCCATCTTATATGTTGCTTAAAAAAGATATTTGCAATGAACAAGTCATTGGTTTTGCAAAATTTTATCATGTGATCTCCAGCATTGTTTCTATCACCAAGGCCATATTTTCCAATGATTGATCCTTCCTCTTTGTTTCCCATCTTTGCATTCTAATCACCAGTAATTATCAATATGTCTTGACTGAGTGATCAATTTCAGACTGAAGAAGTTGGTAGAATTCTTCAGTCTCATCCTTACTGACTGTAGTGTTTGGTGTGTAAATTTGAATAATGGTGGTATTAACTGGTC